TGGCATGGGTAATTTCTCGCGAGGCTCGCGACAGCCCGCCGCGACGATCGCTCGCAGTGGAGCGGTTACGATATTGTAGAGCCAGGAATCAGTCTCTTTAATTGCTAGCAAGTCGGAATTAGTATGCATCAATTCTTTTGGAGGAGCAGGCGACAGATCGGACCGTCTGAGACCGGAGTCCCAATCTTGCCAGGGAAGAGACGTAGAGAAGCGATGGAGTACCTTCCCCCCTCTTCTATCCTGCTTCTTATCATGTTCGCCCCCTTATATTCTTATAGAGAAATTGTAGCTGTTTCCACTGTAATGGGACATCTACTAGTGCATTGCAGTACTAGCCTTTTATGGCGGAAAACGCACCACCCTCAACTATCAGGTCATCCCCTTTAAACGTGCGCAAGATTTTATTCATATAAAACGAAGAGGAAAATAGATAAAAAAAGTACTATTCTGGCTTAGAGTTGCAGATACTTCCTGCATCAATGACCCGCTTTCAGGGCCCCGGAGGCGTTTGGACCTCTGGTACCTTAGGTTTTTCAACTATTGCGAGTGCGACGACGAGCAACGGTGGCCTTCTTGTAGTTGTGTGGTATCATCCATTTGTTGATTGCCGAGGAACAGGCAATATACACCGACAGCTACGATTTTATTCTCTGTATAGAGCCGCCTGAAAGCCACAGTGTGGGAATCCTTCGCTATGATGATCATCCGCTTGGTAGGTAAGCCTTCATAGCAGAATTCGGGCGGCTTCTCATTTGCATTCATACAAAATTGACGATTGTGAGTTTTGGCTCGAGGTCCAAGACCACCCATATTTCATCTAGGGCCGGGGTGCGTTTTCACAGTCGTGAATGACATCTCATGCTCTGCTGAGATGCTAGAGGCATAGAATCGGTACTGCGTTCGTGCTTCTACAAGAAAATTAGGTACCCATGCGCACACCCTCTTGACCATCCTCAGTTTATCGGACATAACTCGGGCAGCAGTTGCAGCTGGGATGTCAGACTCGCGGGGAAGCTCGACAAAGGTCCAGGCTCTGGGATCAGACATTCAGCGCTTGACTTCATCCACCCTTTTTTCTTGTACAGGATGGACATTAAGAGGCATCACGGCAACAATGTTTTTATTTCTTCCTTGTTCTCCCTCCTGAACCAAAACTCCCACCTTGTATTTCGAGAACACCATTACACACAACTACTGGTCCGGCGCAGGTCAAATTTGAGCAGCGCACTTTCCTCTTATGACGTCTGATTTGAAAATCCTGATTTTCACCACTCAGGCTTCTTTTCAATTTCTCGAGAACTTCTTCTGTGGGGGTTCGCCAAATTTCACAGATACATAGCTGAAGGTACTAGCCTCCAAATGGTATAGTAGCCCGCTGCCCTATCCCCTTTGCTTTTCTGCCATTCCTCTATATGTCTCGGCACTTTTGAATGGGATGACCTAACAATTCTCCTTCTCGCCCCCCCCCTCACCTGAATGCCATTTCAGCGGTACACTTAGAAGAAACAAAATCAGCGACCTATCTAGTATACACTTGGAAGAAACAAAAATATCTCCCACGATATAGTGCAAGTTTGAAAAGAGAGTATCGACGTACTGATAACGACCTACGTGAATAGCTCCATTATCTCTTCCATGGAAGGATCTCGGAAGCAAAGACTCATAATCTGCCCATCCACGCAGAAACCTCTTCGAAAATGCGCTCCGCTTAACCAGATATGATCCTTTAATGTGATGATTATTTATGGAGGTCTCCAAGGATGAAAGTGCAAAAGCTGTGCTTGTAAGGTAGCTGATAAAGGAGGGTGGAAGAGACTAAGCGCACTCCATCATTTGCGATCACTCAACGCAGTGGGGTCCTATCTTTTCGCAAGACGGGGTCATAATTGGACTATCTTGTTTGTTTATTTCCCGTTTCATATAGCTCCTGCTTACTGGAGCAGCAATTTTACCCTAATGATAAATAATGCTCAGTGCGAACCTTCCGATAATGCTCAGTGCGAACCTTCCCCTACACTGTCGAAGGAAGTTTGTGCTGGAAATGGTATTTTTAGAAAAATTTCTCCATCACAGTGGTGTGCCCTGAGTGGCGGTAAACTGGGGAGGGTCCAGGGGTATTTTCTCGAGGCATCTACCAGTCCAGTAGTTGAGGGAGAAGGTAAAGGAGGAGGGATCAGAGAAGGAAGGAAGGAAAAGAAGGAAGGAGGAAGAAAAAAGGAAAGAGAGGAGAGGCTTCCCGGTTGACAAGTGCCCTGAGACGCGATTAGTTAACGCCAGGGAGGGTGCAAAGCATGAAAAGGTTGTGGAACAGTCCATCAATTGCCTCTCTCTTTCAAACTAACTTAGCGCGCAAACTCTGCTCTGATTAACCTACCAGCCATGACTTCATGAATGAAAATCCTGATGTAAAATATGATGTCCTTGTCTGGCTCAAGAGAATTTCTCCAACGTACTGAAAAGAAGCTATGGAATATCAAGGCGACTTGGGCTAGCCGCTAGCATAGTAGCCAGCCGCTGAAAAAACAGGAAGCAGCCATTGGTTGAAGACTACTTTCAAAAATTAGAACACTAAAAAATTAAAATTGAAAGTACCCGTTTTCGTTGACCACTCCAATATCGGCATCAACGAAGAGAACCCATTCGAAGGACTCAAGAATTGTAGCCACAATACAGTGTCGTTGGAACATGATCTGAGGTTGGCAGGAACATTTAAAGGAGGTGACGTCAAAATGTTAAAGCTGGAGTCCACGCTAGTAGTGTAGGCGGGGACAAAGAGAGGCTTTGTGTTTCCATTATTGATGCCCAGTCCACCGCTCCCATAAAGTAGAGGAGAAGTGCGTCTCAATGAGAGCAGTACCGTGCACTTCTCTTCTGCTTTATGGGAGCACTGGTACGGCCTAGACTATCAGCGCGAATGCGAGCGCTAGGGGCCCGCCGTTGCTTCCTGGAACTCACATCTTTTTGCGAACACTCTCTTTTGTAATCTGCTGCACTCAATACCAAATATGTGTAAGTTGTGCATAAGTGCATAGCATTCCATTGTTTCCATTGCTGTTCGGTACCTGGATCGGTCTGCAGTCGTGTTCAGTACCGTCACGATTCCAATTTTTTGCATTCTGTTCCCGGCCTGAAGCATTTTTCACCATGAGAAAAAAGTGGATGCAATTCAGGAAAACGGTGACGTGGTACTGCAAGCGATGACAGGTGCCAAAAGTGCTCCACTAAGTCATCAGTTGGAGTCGCCACTCGGATCTCCTGACCCGCACCGGAAAAATATACCCAGACTGTTTCAGAAGGAGCTCAATCGCTTTCGAAGGTGACCACACCTACAAGGAATGTGCTTAACATGTGCGAGGAGCTGAATTGATCCGCAGCTACCGTAATGTGCCTCTTTGTCCGCTCAGAAGCGCACTCGAATGCGACTGTAGTGTTGTGGCACACATGGTCCAGCATTTGTATCGATACCGAGGTACCGCATCGAAACACGCAAATCATAGGTAATTAGATGTGAGAGGACGCAGACAAGCAGCGCGTTCGGTTATGGTTTAAGCTTCTGGCTGGCCGGGCAGCGCGGGCACAGCATGGAGACGGCACCCGGGTACCGCTATCCACCAGCCCTCTTCCCGTGCAGTTCTGATCGGGCAAAGCGGCTCGTTCTTGTTGCTGACCCATTCATCTAGCACACGGCAAGGACGAACAACCTCTGTGAGTGCAAAATTTGCCTATGAGTTAAAAAAAAAACAGAGTTCTAGCTTTGATCAGCCTTTTTTGGAGAGTGTGCCTTCCGAGGTACATTCGCGCTGTTCGCATGGGTGGAGCAGGGCCGACACTGTGCTTTACTGGCTACCATTTTTTCCTGATTTAGGGAAGTGCAGCTACAGACATGGCTCCGCCCACACGACGAGCTTAGAATGTGACCAAACCGTCGGTCAGCTTCATCACATTTTATTTACCTCAGCATTAGAGACGACGTGAAGAGCGCTTCAACAGCAGCCTGTGTTGAGTCGTATGTCTCCTGAAAAATCGAGATTTGCATGGTCCTTTTTTGAGAGGTATGCAGTCCTGTATAATAGCCCCATCTGGATGTATTTACTCACCATAATGTAGACAACGTTGCCCAAGTAAGTGTACCACATACTTATTACTCCAATCAATAGTAAAACACTGGCAAAAATTCGTTTTCTGATCATAACGAGCACCAAATTCCGTCCTGAGCCTTCAGACCTTGAGATTAGCGCTTCGGTTTCGGGGTCAGAACTTATACAACATCTAAGACTGAAGAACAAGAAGAGTGAGGTGTAGAGGAACCTTTTGGATTATACAGTCGTTACCAGTGAAATCAGTAGGGGCGTGATAGCGGGCATGGGCTTTGGCGCGGTACTTGCTGAAGGTGGCAGCTGGGTTTATACGGTTTACTCGTACTGAATTTCACTTAATGAAAAGCTTTGAGAAAGTTTGAGAGTTGATGATCAGGGCACGCTTGCCGCTGGAGAAAATAATTGGTAAGTAGGACCCCTCCTTCCCCACTCTCCCAGCCTCCTACCACATTTTCCGTAACTTCCCGAAAATTTTCCAGTTTTACCGCAAAAATTTTCCCATCGTGAGCGGATGGCATATAATACCAGTGAAATGGAAGAACCATGAAAAGTAGTCAACACTAGAAAATTTTTTTCACAGCGCGCTGAATTTCTTTCAGGGACAAGTATTTCCAACGATGAGAAGCGCCCATTGGTTCAGAAGAATAACACCCCCCCCCCACTCCCTCCTCCCCCGCTGGCGATTCCCCAACGTAGGATGATGTTGTTGTTGATGATGCAGACAACGTAAGATGTTGGTGCTGATGTATCAACGCTTTTGGAAGATTTCGTTATTTTGCACTGGAACACTCCCAGTCTGAAAAGAGGGGGAGGGTGAACACTGTAAGTAGTTCCCCTCAGGGTGCTGAGCTGTGTGAGAGCCCTAGAGAGACTCAGATTTCCCCCTCGTTTGAAGGAGATGAGTAAAGAAATAGACTGAATCTTAGAATATGAGCAGGACTGACCATGAGAAAAGC